CTCAACGTAAATACTTTGTGCCAGTAAATTTCCATTTAATTAATTCGATTGATCAATTGTTCCAATGAGGTGTTCCAACACGGCAAGTAAATCTCCCTGGGGATCGTGACGATGTGTATTCATAGGTATAATATGAATCAAATTCAGATCAATGAGATCAATCAAATGAGATATGGTTGTGGAACAAAAGCATCGTGGAAGATACAACGCGGAGAATAGTTTAAGCTTAACGAAGTTCAACGAAGCGTTCGAAACTTATATTGACGCGAATAAATGTTTTTCAGTACTTGACGATGATGATGAATCAAATTCGAGACCAAATTAAAAATTCCGATAATGTTTAATCGGAAATGGAACTCCAATTTGACTCACATATGTCGTCTATTAAATGCAGATGACGATAAAGTCTTTAAACGAACGGTAAAAAACTTTTTTAAACGTTTACTCGATGTACAAAAGAATCTGAGTTTGTATAAAATTTATATATATATATATAAAGTTTCTAATTTCCATTTTTAATGGATAAAACGTGTAGTTGTTCTCGATAATAATACGCGCTCAGATTCTTCTTATCGATCGTTTACACTGGTATACTTATATGCATTAGAAAATTGAACTTATATAAAACATGGCGTTGGTACGCGTCCACGATTTGTCCGAACTCAGTACGTGGACAATATAGATACAATATAGTTTTAATTGATCAAAAAACATACATGCAAAGAAAAAAATAATCGTGTTCTTATTTGCAGGCAAATTTTGTGAAAGTGTACATTTTTTTTTTTATATCATTATTTCACGATTAAAAATTGTAAATGAAATTTCTTATGATTCCACCATATGGAATAAAAAAGATTATTAAGAAGAAAATTCGCTGATCCTTTTCCAAATATATTATATCAAATAAGTCAATTTTTATTCTTAATATTTAATAAAGAGACCATTGCATGTATGTTTACACAGCTATTCACTGTAAACCGTTTTCTTGTTTTACTCTGTGAATCTCTATAAAATTCATATTACATAAACTAAATTGTAAAATAGGATCAGAGATTGAACAAAATTTATGTCCAGAGACACTCATCAGCTCATATAGGTTTTGCAATCCTAGCAAAGTGGCAGAAGTGCGTGGATCACATAAAGAATTCCCTGGATCGGCTAATGTGCAGTCACGATGCAGGTCTATCCAGTATTGAAATTTCTATTAGCCTAAGACCACGCATTGCTGGATCTGTTAATAACAGACCACGTGGTTTATAGACTCTGTCATTTTGTTCACAAACAAACTTTGCCACTTTTCTTAAACACTTTTCATAATGAGTCTCTGTGCATATATAAATTAGATAACCAGTGAGGCATGCCAGGCAACCTTCGCAGTATGTAGAACAACTGGCACGTTCAGCTTCTGCGAAGTAGTTGTTCAACTGATTGATTGTATACTCGAACGACTGTCTGTCCAGCTAAATTGAAAAATAAGATAGCAAAAATATATCCAATAAATATAAATTGATAAATTAATTCATTCATTGCCTAATTCACTCATAAAAAATTAAATCAATAAAATATATTATTATTTCTGCAACTCTTGATCCTATAATATATGTAAATAAAGAATAAGAATAAGATATATAAGAAAATTCTGTATATTTAACCACAGAAATAATGTTAGAAATAGAAATATTTCATTAACAATTATAATTAAACAAAAAATATATATATATTTATATTTTCCAATAATTTGTTTTATAAATAAAAAAAAAGATAAATAGATTTTTTGAATACATACTCTGCTCTCCAATTCCGGAGGAAATTGCGTTTGAAACTTAACAACAGTGCCTTCACTATAGTCACGTTGTATAAAAATTTTCTGACAACTCGGAGGAGGCCCCCCACCTGCTTGTCCTCGACCAGCTGACATGTCCTCCAGGGGTGTAAGGGCAGCGTGATTGCCCTATAAAACAAATCCAATAAATATTTTATTAAATTTTCTACGAATCAACTTAGAATTAGCATTGTAACTATTTGTCTTACATTTCTTTCTTTTATTTTATCTGATTTCGAACATGGTCCATGTATATAACCACAAAACCGCACCCAACTATTATATTCAAAATTGTTTATCATGAATCCGTCTGTTATTAATCATATGATAAAAAAATTCGAAATGACAATATTCGAATTCAAAACAAATGGAATATCAAAAAAAATGACGAAACAAGAATATACCGCAGATAGACCAATAGTAAAAGAAAGAAAGAAAAACCGAGGTAAGATGCATAAACTTACCAATGGCATTTTAAGCTTCGTCTTGGCGATTTGATAGAACAGGTTTGTCGAAAATTAACTTCGACTTGTTAGTCGAACGTAAAACGAAAGAATAAAACACGACTGATCACTAAATGCTGAATTTTTCTTGAAAAACCACAGAGGACAGTACTTTGACTGACGGACTACGACACGATACCACCGCCATGAAATGTACGTGCGCAATGTATGAAATTGAAATATACAATTTACTTAATAATTATAATATATTTCTAAAATGTGTCAATTATTTAATTATCTTTTATTGACATCAAATATTTTAAGCATAATTATAATTAATATTATCATCTAATGTTTCTGTTTTTTTTAATTTATTATTTTCAATTATATCCATTTTTCATATATTTTAATTATTTTTAATATTTAATATTCGTAATTTTATATATATATATTTTTAAACTTTTGGACTTTTAAATTTTTTTAAATCTAAATTTATTAAAAATTATTGAAATATAACAGGACGTACAAATAAATGTCATATATTTCATAATATATTCAAATTTTTCGATTTCTAGAATAAATTTCCAATTTTTATTATTTTTAAATAATAAAATTTAGACTTAAAAATAATTTGAAACTAATTTAAAACTAATTTAAACTAAATATTTCCTGTTTTAGTAATTATAAGTAATTTTCGAAAATTATACAATCATAGACATTGAAACACCATCTAGCGATGAACAGATCAAACTAATTATCTATTAGCAAAATAAAATGCAAAAGTCTCGCTATTAAATTAAATTTTTTAATTTTTAGAAATTTCAATAAAAAAACATAGTTTTTCAATAATAATTCAAAATGAACTTTAAACTTTTTTATAAATATTTTGCATTGTAAATTTGTTTGCCATATCAATTTTTAATAATAATAGTTACATTTAGATGGCGTTATAATGTCCATTAGCTAATTTATATTTGTAAATTTATGTTTCTTAGATGTAAATTCATCGAATGAAATTTTATTGAAACTTGATCGACTATTTATATTTTTTAATCAACAATTTTATTAAAAATTTGAAACTTGAGAATAATAATGTTCACTAATCGGTCTCTTGAAGCCGTGAGTTTTAATTCACAATTATCTACTACAAAGTATGTATATAAATATATTTATATTTTTAAATAAATTCATAATTCTTTCATTATTTAATATCTTTTAGATCACAACAATCTACAAATATTCAAACAACAGAAATTGTTTATGATCAGAATTCTGTACAAACAATCGAAACAAGAAACGTTGAGGTACATTTATAAATAAATTAAAAATATATAAAAATAAAATTTGACTTTTTTAATTTTATATTTTTTAGACTCAAACTATATCTGAAGAAAAAAAAAAGCCAGAAATAAACTATGAAAGATTGGCCCAGTTTTTAAATCGGGTTACACCAAGTATATTAGAAGCATTAGATGAATCTTATGGAACCAATGCATTTGAAGATTATGAACCAAAAACTTCAGAAGATTCATTCACAAGTACACAACTTTTACAAAAAATTAATAGCACTGAAGCAAATTCTCAGGTATTCATTATTTTTTAAGACTATTATTATTTTTGCTTATTATCATTAAAATCCTGATGTTACTATTTCAAAATATTTTTAGATGAAAGTAAGTGATATGAGTTGGAGTATTGGAGGAGGAACATTAGCTGTATCTTATGGTATTCCTTATCACCAAGCATGGTGTGATCATTTATCCAAAATACAATTATATAGTCAAATGAAAGAGGGCCATTTCACAAATAATCCAAATAAAATACTAGAAACTAATGCCTGTGTAACAACATTGGTTTATCATCCAACTGAACCATCTATTATAGCAATTGGTTTATTCAATGGTAATTTGTAAAATTTTCATATATAAATAAATGTACACATTTATAAAATAAAAAAATTATTGTCAATGTTATTTGTAACATTGTCAATGTTATTTGTAAGGTGATGTTCTTGTATGGAATTTAAAGGATGATACATCAATTGCACCAACAACAATTTGTACTCATGGAGATTGTGTATCTCAAGTATACTGGAAAGGAAGAACTATAAATGATGTATCGCTGTTGGTGAGTTCCAGCAAAGATGGATATATTTTTATTCATAAAATGATGGCCAATTTTACAATTGCTCGCATTTATAAACGGTAATTTCTTTAAAATTTCTGTATTAATATATTCTTAAAAGCATTTATAAGAATATTATTTTTTTAGATTAAAAATAGCCAAAGAACATAATCCAATAGAAAACTCAAGACCACGTAGTGCAGGTGGAACACGCGAACGCGCAATAGAATCTGGATTATGCATTACCACTTTCGATTTTTCATCCAGAGATCCAATATTTTTTATTGTGGGTACCTTATGTGGTGGAATTTATAAATGTAGTTTAGATCGTGTCGTTCCTATCGAAAGTATGAATTTTTCTGAAATGAATTTTATGAATTATTAAAAACTATATATTAGAATCAATCATTTTTTTATTTTAGATGATGAAACTTTAATAGATCCTGTAATAGATGAATACGAAAGACATGAAGGTAGCATTACATGTATTAAATGTTCGCCAATACGTAATCTTTTTGTTTCTGCTAGTACAGACAAAGAAATTCGTATATATGATTTTGAAGAGGTGATAATTTTTTTTTTTATATATTTTTTTTATATATAATTCTTTATATATTAAATGCTATAATGCTATAATAATATAATGCTATAACAAAAATTTGCATATCTAGCATACAAGTCTGCAGTCAATTCCTTGTGAAAATACAATCATAGGTTTAACTTGGATGATTGGAAATCAAGATATATTGGCAACTTATGGCGCTAGTTCGAAAATTATATTGTACAATGTTACAGATGGTACAATCGTAACAAATGTGAATTTAGAAACAATTGATAGAGAAAACACTAGTTGCTTACGCGTGAATTTAAAGAGGTAAATATTAGTAATAATATAATTAATGTAAATATTAATGTATATATTTGAGCAGATTTATTAATCTCTTATTTGTTACACATAGAGATATAGTGGCTATTGGGGATACACAAGGAAATATAGAGATCTGGAAAATCCCAAGACAATTATTGTAAATATAATGTATGCATTAACTTTTTTTATTTAAATATTATATTACCAATATTATTATCTTATAATCAGCTTCGAAATATGTATTTATTATATAATAAAATATATTACTTTTATATAATAAAACAAATAAAACAAATCTTAAAATATATTAATTATTCTTTTAATTTTTCTTATTAAATATAATAATATTTGCAAAATTAGACATAATATTAGCTAACATATGATTATTGTATCATATTTCATTATTTAAATATTGTAACATGCTTCAAAATAAATTTCATTATATAAAAATAGCTTGATAAATTCATTGCGAAAATATATATGAAAGTTGTTTGTAATTCTGGCACATAGTTCAGACATATGTAAAATATTCATTTAAAATAAAATTAAAATACTAAATTTATCACATCAAGAACCTAACCTAATCAACTTTCATTTATACTTATATAATACTAATACATTTATATAATACTAAATTTATCACATTAAGAATCTAATCTAATCAACTTTTATTTTTATTTATTATATATAAAAATAATTTTTAAAAATGTTAATATAT